GAATACAGGAAGACGAAGAGGTGGAGGAGGTTAGAGAAGAATTACTGGGGGTAACCTGTGCTAAGTGCTCTCATCTGACATGTCACGATAATGTGCAGGAACCAGAGTCGGTCACCGAACTACGCCGTACCTCGCGGTCCCCCTTAATACTTCGTGGGGGATGGAATTCAAGAGGGTTCCTCACGTTCGATGGTCGAACTTATGTGCCGAACTACGCCGATGCTCGACTAAAGATAATGAAGACGCGGCATGACTCGGTCCTAGCGGGTCACCCAGGCTCAGCGAAGACTCTCGAGCTAGTCCTACGGGACTACGTTTGGGTTGGAGTAAGGAAGGATGTTGAAGATTACATCGCTGGATGTGCGGTGTGTCAGAGAGCAAAGACTAACAGGCAGAGACCCCATGGAGAGCTTAAACCACTGGAAGTGGCTACGAAGCCATGGTCCAGCATTTCGATGGATTTCATTGAAGAGCTCCCGAATTCCCATGGATACAATTCCATCTTAGTAGTGGTGGACCGGTTGACCAAATGGGCCATTTTTATCCCGACTACGACGAAGTTAACCGCAGCTGGCCTATCCGAGTTGATAATGGACTATGTGGTAGCTCAGCATGGGCTACCAGAGAACATAGTGTCTGACAGGGGATCGAAGTTTACCTCGAAATTTTGGAAGAACTTGACCGATAGTCTCGGGATAAGACTACATCTCTCTACTGCATATCATCCGCAGACTGATGGACAGACTGAACGAACCAACCAGTCCTTAGAGCTCTACCTTCGAATCTTCACTTCTTATCAGCAGAACGATTGGTCGAAGCTGCTTGCTCGAGCTAGCTTCGCCTACAACAACACCCATCATTCTGCGATAAATAAGACACCATTTTATGCGAACTATGGGTACCACCCTCGATGGGCTGAAGAAATCAAGGCCAGCGAAGTCGAAGTGCCCGCTGCTACGGTGGTGGTAAAAGACTTGACTGAAATACACAAAGATTGTATCGAAGGAATTGAGAAAGCTAATGAGAAGTACGCCGAAGGATACAATAGGAAACACCGGACTACGCCGAACCTCGCGGAAGGAGACCTAGTGATGCTGTCGTTAGAGAATATTAAGACGAAGAGACCAATGAAGAAGTTAGATGTTAAACAAAGTGGGCCGTACAAGGTAGTACGGCAGGTAGGTTCTCATGCTTGTAAATTGGAATTACCAGGAACGATGGCAGGTATCCATGATGTATTCCATGTCTCCTTGCTCCGTCCTTATCACCCTCCAATATTTCCTGGTCAGCAAGCTGAGCCACCTGGCCCAGTAGAAGTAGACAATGTGGGAGAGTCTTGGGAGGTAAAGGATATTGTAGACTCTAGAGTAAATAAGAGATCAGGAAAGTTAGAGTACTTGGTGGAGTGGTTAGGTTACGAAGGAACAGACGACTCAGTATCATGGGAACCAGTGGAGAACGTCGATGGAGCTGACGACATATTGGCGAAGTTCCACGAACTTCACCCTACTAAGCCGAAGGAGGGGCGACTGCGAAGGGCTAGGAGATAGAACGTACTGCATACAACATAGGATTACAGCTACGTACCGCTCACTTGTCCTTACTCTTACCCTTACCTTTTCCTTTTCCTTTCTCCTTCGATCTACTCGGTCCCGCGGGATTGGTGTGGAGGCTACCGATGACCGAAGGTAGATCGAGAGTCTCAGACGGGAACGCAGTAGAGAGAGAAGCATTCCATGCCCGATTCATAGCCCCGAAGAAGTCACCGAAGTCCTGGACATCTCGAGCAGCTTGCATGCTCGGAGTCCTCCACAGAGAACGTATGGTCCGTAGACACTCGAAGGGAAGACTGAGGAGGTCGAGAGCAGCCTGGGCGGAAGCTGGGACACGAGAACTACTACGGCGACCTAACCAGTCAAGGGACGGTGGTGGCTCATACGCCATAGGAGTGACTAGGAAGGGGGTGTCGAACAGTCTTCGGCGAACATCGGCTATCTCAGTAAGGCTTCGGCGAGAGACGTCCGCTAACCTCGTCCTTGCTTCGTCGTCCAGAGCCCCAGTGTTGACTACATCTACTAACGCCGCAGTAAGATTGTTTAAAGCGTTAGCTTGACGAGAAGAGAAGTCAAGCAGGAGAGATGTATCATTTCGGGCGGCCTCGAGCTGAGTAGTGAGACCGAGGACGAGAGAACGATAAGTGGCGAATTCCTTTTCGTCCTCAGGAATACGGACGTCCAGGGAGATACGAGGGTGGACGAGGGACAACCGGGGAGCAGAGGGACCAGCACGCTGAGTATCTTCACCTTCCACATCACCATCATCGAAGGCAACCTCCTTCTCTTTAGATTTCCCTTTTGATTTCTTTAAAGAAGACTTCGGTGTCTTCTGGGAAGCAGAGGGAGGGGTGACGGGAGGGGCCGCCGAAGCGGCCGGAGGAACGGAAGGACGCCGACTTCGGGTGCTGTGAGCCGGAGGAGAAGCTACCACTGGAGAGGACGGGCGTGGCGCCGAAGGACGAGAGGCCGAAGGACGGGAGGCCGAAGGACGGGAGGCCGAAGGAGCAGAGGCCGAAGGACGGCGAGAAGACGAAGGAGGAACAGCCGGGAGACGTGATGGGCCGGCCACAGGAGCGAAGGGCGACGGCGACGGAGGCGACGGGCGGAGGTCCGGCGAAGTACGGCGAACCGACCGGAGAGACGAAGACGGTACCCGCGAACGGGGGACAGACGCTGGAGTCTGGGGAGGGGGGAGAGGAGAAGCGTCGAAGGGACGGGGCGGGATGTCCCGGGCAGAGGAAACGGGACAGAAGGAGCAGGGGCCAGACGTGCATGAAGCACAACGGAGGGCCTTGTTGTGTGGCCTGACTGCCTTGAGGCAGGGCCAGTTTGGACGATTATACGTGATAATCTCACGTCTACTAATTAGCAGGAGTAACTTCGGCGTAGTACGAATAGGTGGACTCACCGGCAACGATCACACGCTTCGTCAACACCAACCGCGATCCAACGACCAGGCTCGGACTTCATCTTCTCCCACAAGTACTCTTCTTCCCGCAGTGATCTCTTCACCCGTTTGGGCGAAGGCTCCCCTCTGGGAGAAGGGGGGGGAGCAGCGACGGGGGGGGCGGCAGCAGGACCGGCAGCAGGACCGGCGGCGGCGGCGGCGGCGGCAGAGCGGGCGGCGGCAGCAGCGGCGGCAGCGGCGATGGCGTTGGGGGGGGGGAGAACCCCGGAAGAGGAAGAAGAAGAAGAAGAAGAGGAAGAAGAAGAAGAGGAAGAAGAAGAAGAGGAGAGGGAACGGCGTCGTTTCTGGCCCACAATTTGAGCAGGGGGAGGGGCAGGAGCGGCTGCGAGTTAGCAATGTCTTGGAGAGCTAAAGAACAGATAAACAAGGCCAAGTTCGGCGAAGGTATAGGAGGTTGGGCGAAGAACCCACACTCAGGACTATCAACATTGTTATCCTCTACACTAACCGCCACCATATCATCATCTGAGATATCTTCTAACTCAGTTTCACCCTCACGATCCTGATCCTCCTCATCACTATAATCACCCCCTTTTCCTTCGAAGTCTGACTGATCGTCCGACTCCGAACCACTGAGCGACTCCTGGTCGGAGGAGGACGGAGACTCACCAGGACGAAAGGCGGGCGTCCTGCGGCGAGGGCTGGCGGCAGGAGGAGAAGCGGAGGGAGAACGGGCGGGAGAACCGGCAGGAGGACTGGCGGGAGGAGAAGCAGAGCGAGGAGGCGAGGCGGCGCCAGACGGTTCCCCCAGGGAAAGAGTGCCGAGGCCAAGAGAGGAAACTTGGCGAGACCTATCACCGAAGGAAACTGAACGTCAGCCAAGTGCGGCGAAGTGCGGTAGGTACAGGGGAAAGACTCACGAGCAGACGACACCATACCACCAAAGTTCCTCATGGCGGCGAAAGGGTTAGAGGTGGGAGTAGGAGGGGCCATGACGTTTAAAATACTTAAAGAAATAAAAGATGATACGTCGAGGTAACAAATCCGTTTTCTAAGCGCGAGAGATAGAAAGTTTTGAAAACAGATGGGGAAGAGAGAGAAGGACGATGAACTGCTCAGTACTTAGTATAACTCGAGTTACCCCTCCGTCGTCAACATGCGGCATCCTTCGCGTTTCATCAACAAAAGGCATCGCAGGGACGATCAAAATTCCCACGCTATAGTGTCTCATCTCAATATAAACGAGGGTTACTTCGACAAACTACGGTGTTGTTCGGCTGCCATTCACGAAGCGTGTCTCACCTACAAAAGACACAGGGCTTCTTACGGCAAACCTCGACGAAGTTAGGGGAGTCTCATTGTCGGGTTCTGGAGTGAAAGGAGGCCCGACTACGAAGTGCGGCGCAAAGAACAGAAGAGTGAAGGTTGGTCGTGGGGAGGGAGAGAATGGGGGTACTACGCTGCTAAGTTCTCTTGCCACGACAGAGGTGTAATCGCTCACGAGGACGTTCGCGGCTAAAGAAGGGGGCGACTGTCACGAACTACGTCGTGACACCTCGATTACTCCACCAACAATGACCCTCCTTTGGCCATCAAAACCCCATCACGCCTTAACCTCTTTACTCTACACGTAACTCAGGACTTCTGACACCAAGTACGGCGAAGTTAGACGGAGTTAGGCTAAGTAGGGACAATGGGAGCAGAAGTGCGGCGATGTTAGGCGGGGTTAGGCTAAGTAGGGACAATGGGAGCAGAAGTGCGGCGATGTTAGGCGGGGTTAGGCTAAGTAGGGACAATGGGAGCAGAAGTGCGGCGATGTTAGGCGGAGTTAGTCGAAGGAGGAAGAGGATGGCCGAGGGCTCGGGGAAGTTGGACGAAGTGCGTTGAAGTACGTCAAAGCGCGAGAGGGTTGGATGAACGTCTAGGAGGAGTAGATAATATTAGCTGAGAAGATCGCTGAAGTTCTTCAGCGATCCTTGATTGTTGTCAGTAGTAAAAGACAGATAGAGATAGCTATAAATCAAGATACATCGCCATCAGTAGATCAAAACCCTAGTTAGAGTAACTACGCCGAAGTACGCCGTAGTTACACCCCTTTCGACGTCTGCGCCGAACATTTTGAAGTACCCTTAGCAGAGCATTCACCACACACACCACCGACTGAATTGCATCAACATTGAACGAGTCGCAGCAAGAACTTACGAGGGCCAATACAACCAACACGAAAGTCTTCACCACCATCGAGACGACGTTGACAATCGGTACAGAGCTCACCCTCTAGCCGAACAACAGCACCATTTTTGTTGCGGAGGCGCCAACCTTGGGCCAAACGATCGAGCTAATGATTAGAATCGATAAAACTTGAAAGAATTCGAGACTTACAGCGTTCTTAAACCACTTTACAGTGGGCTTGATGGCGTTGGTTTCGCGGAAACGGTCCAGAGCTTCGTTCTTCAACGCGAGACGAACAGAGGGGAAGGTCATGCTGGCCCAAAGGGTAGCTAACAAGTCAGAAGCGAACAGAACTCGGTGGAATTCTCACCGATTTCGGAGTCTTTTCGATCCTCGAGCAACTTAACCAGTTCCTGGTTGACGGTAACCTTGCGAGGGGCGTGAAAGATGTCACCAAGTTCTTCGGGAACCTCCACAAGTTCGTCGGAAGCCTCAGAAGGAGGACCAGTGGGTTGCTTACCGGGAGAATTTTCATTTTCGACGACGGTAGGGTGTTCGGAGTCGACGGATTTGGCGGGAGATAGGTTCTCACCAGTGGCAGATGGCCCAGCACCCCCTTCGAAGTCGAAATATTGCTCGATGACATGGTCATCAAGGAGCGATTGTGCTTCGCGAGAAGGACCGGATTGATACTTCTCCTTAATGGTGTCGAGAGCTCGTCGAGACGCATCAACCAATGGGGGTTGAGAGGAAGCGGCTTCAGACGTAATTCTCATTCTTTTCGTTTTACGCATAAGGAGTTCGGGGTCGACGTCAGGCAGGATTGCCAAGGTAGAAGCTCGAGTTTGACGGGAGGAGGTGGAAGGAGACAACTAATCTCGTCAGCCAGTGAGAGATAGGAGGATATACATCGAATTCGAAGGGAATTGCTTACAGTACGCTTAGACATGCTCACAGACAGGTCAGAGTTGGAAGGATACTCTAAGATATGAGTAAGATATGGATGGATGATGATAGATAAGTAAAAAGAACGACAAACAAGAGGTAAAGAGAGAATGAGGAGGAAAGAAGAGAAAGAAGACGGGGAGGTAACTTGGTCAGTAATTTCTCGATCACATTGGAGGTCCGTGCGGGTGACGCGTTTTCATGGCAACCGTCACACTAGCGTGGGTATGATGTCAGGGCGCACCAAAGGTGTCTAAGAACAATCCATGTGCATCACCTGGTTACAGGGTTCAGGATCCTCGGCGAGGATCCTTGAGACAGGGGGGGAAACTTGTTACGGGGTAACAACGAATCGAGAGGACTCTATCGAGTTCGACGGATTAGGACAGAGGAAAGCGGGAGTTGGAGGCAGTGCTGCAGTAGGTAGGGACGGGTTTTCCCCTTTCGAGATTTCCCCACTGGGTTTGCTCAAAGCGGTTTTTCACCTGTCCGAGTATGTACGTACGTAGACGCTTGCAGCAGGAAGAGGACAAAGGGCGAGGATATCCGTAGACAGTATATAGTACAATCAGCAAAGTACCAACTTTGCTGATTCTTCAATATCATTCTTTGGCTACATCGATTGTAGAGGAGACACGATCCATTAGCACCAGAGCCCCTAGAGTTCCACGAGACATCCATCGAGTTCGACCCAACCTGCGACCTAGTCGTCGTGTTTCCAGTACCGTTACACGTCTCTCCTCCCACCTTAGGATTAAAGATATGCAAGAAACCATGGTATTCAGAAGGTACCAACTCCAGCAGTTCTTCTTGTTCTTCCTCACTAAGTTCGTCTTCCAACGCCGAGTCTCTAGGTCCTAAAACCTCCCCTTCCTTGAACCCAAAAACTGCACTAACTTCTCCCCTTCTCTTTTCGATCTACACGGGATCTTTATTACCTCCTCCCTAACATCCAGGACCACTCCTTCCTTCTTCATCCATTCCCATCATATCACCACATCTGCATTGCACAACTTTGTGACATCCAACCAAATCATACAGACTTCGTCCTCAATTGACACACGGATCCCTGTTTCAACAAACTTTGTGATGGGGCCACCGATACTTTCTGAACCATCGAACATACGTACAGGTACTTCCTCTGTGTATCTTATCACTTCCAATCCTAACTCCTCCACTGTTTTTGGGTTTATATATGGACTAGTTGCTCCTGAATCCCATAAGGCGACCACCTGGGCCCCTTTAACGTTGATTTTTGTTTTCGGTTGTCTCGCATTAGTGATGGGTATCGTGATGAAATGTCCGTCTTTGTATACACATGGTTCTGCTACTGTCAGCTCTTTCCTGTTAATATCAGAAGGAACAATAGCAGAGAGGACAGAGAAATGGACCCGCCGACGTTCTCTCAAACCAAAGGGTCCAGGCCTTTTCCCTCATCCACATCCTCTCCTGCTGCCACATTCATCTGCCTCGGCTCCCCCACCGCTACTGCATTCCCTCCTGTTCCCCTATTCCTTGAGCTCTTCCACATCTCAGGAGGATTCATCTTTCCTTGAGCTACCTTAGCCGCTACTAAAGGACAATCCTTCACATAGTGTCCCTGGCCTCCACACTCCAAGCACGCTCGTTCGGCCCTCCACTTTTCTCTCTGTTTGAAACTTGGCCTAGGGGTAAGAGGATCCCCTTGTTTCCAAACCTGTGATCCTATCACTAAGTTACTCCGACTTGGGGTAGGAAGCGGCACCGCGCCCACAGGATTCTTCGCGGGTGTCATTGATAACATCGCCGTTGATTGTACGAAGTTAGGTGTTCTTCCCCAGTTTGTTTTCTGCCCATTAGCCTGTCTCTCCACCCAATGCTCAGTCATTCTATTGTCCAATTTGATCACCACTGCCTTCAGCTCTTCCATAGTCCCAATCTCCTCTCTCCGGGAAAGCTCGTCCTTCATAACTTCGTGTAATCCGTTAATAGCCTGAGCCACTAACATTTCCTCCTCACTCCACCCCAATATTGCGATATACTTTTGGAATTCAGTGAAGTACGCTGATGCCTTCCCTTGCTTCTGTTATAATTCTCTCAAACCCTGGATAGCCGTACCCCTCTCATCTGGGTCACCGAAGTTCCTTTTCATCCAAACAGCAAACTCAGAACGTCTTGAGAGGAAAGGAGGAAGAGGAGTAGAAAGTAGATGAGGCTGCACCGCCAGCAGTGCAACCCCTCTCAAGAACCCTACCATCCACAACACACTCTGCTCCTCACTCTCAAACATATCCTTCATCACACTCAACGCCAACGAACACTGAGTCAAGAACCCAGTGAGTTTCTCTCTTGACCCATTGAATTCGTCCGGGTCCTTTGGTTTCGGTGCTCGAGTTGACAAAGTTGTTGCTGACCCTTCTCTAGTTCCCCGCTGTCCTCAACGAAGTTCTTGTACTATCTCTGTCAGAGCTTCACTCTTCTGGTTGTCAGCAGCCTTCAACTCCTTCAGAGCTCTCATCATCCACCAACATCCCATCTCTAATATCTTCTTCAAATCTCTCCGGTGAGTTCCCTCCCCTAGGTCGCACTGTATACAAACTTCTTCCACCAGTTGATCCCCCATCTTCTTCCTCTAATCTTCTCCCTTGATCACCCTCCTCAACCCATGGGTTGCCCAAGTATGTGTCAGAAGGTGGCTGGGAGAGAAAAGATGAATCCCTAGAACCGTGAGGTTCTAGGTTACCTTGGTTATCTCCCTGTTTGTTCCTCAACATTGCTTCAGCCGTTCTTCTCTCTCTCTCTTTTCCTCTAGTCCACATGTATCTTCCCGCGAGTTACTGAAGAGTCGGTAAGGACAATCTCTGGTACTGTCACGGTGTTGTTTCTTTGTTAACTTCCTAGGACCGACGGCCAATAACTTTGTGGGCTTCGACCTTTCAACTACCTCGTTGTTCAAAATACGAACTAGGTGGCTATAACTTCTGGGTGTCATAACTTCGTACTTTACTAACTTATATCACTAAGACAACAACCAGAGATCGTCACAGATCTCTGGGAACTTCGGCCCTTAAGTCCTTCATCCTTCCCTAACTTCTTCAACGCGGAACTTTGTTCAACCCAAAGTCCCAAAGTTCGTGCCTCCCTAACCTTGTATCTCCCTAACCTTGTATCTCCCCAACTTCCTACATGACTAACTTTGTCCTCGACGAAGTTAGCCTCCTAATACCCTCGTGGGTGATGAAGTTCATGAGAACTGGATCGTTGATGGCAAACTGATGTCCAAAGGAACCTCGTTGATGGGAAAAGATGATGTCAAGCAGCCCGGCGTGACAACCACTCACAGGAAGAGACACGAACTTAGATAGCGTGTGGAGATTTGGTGAACAATGTTTTGTTCAGATACCAAGGGAGACAAGGCTGAAGTCGAACTTCACGGTACCTAGGGGTTTGTCAGCCATTATACTAGGTCAGGATGAGGGTGTGAGCGGTTGGATCGTTAGAATGGACGGATTGGGACAAATCAAACACTCACGAGACGTTCATCGCTCGACAGGACGAATGGTGGCTACTAGAGAGCCGCCAGATGTCATCCAAACCCGTCTCGACACCATAGAAGTAGACCTAGACCCTGTTGTCAACAAAGAAATTTTCCCTGACGACCGCTCAGAAAGTGAGGAACAGGAAAATATTGATAATGAACAAGGAAATGATGTCAACAGAGACAACTCACCTAATACAGGTCCACAATTTACTGAAAGACAACGTGGACAGGGCATCTGGGGAGGAAATTGGGTCTATGAGAACAATATCGTCGAAAATGAAAGAAATGATGAGGAAGGAAGAAATGATGGGGACGAGGGGATCGTGACGACACGTCACGGACGAATTATTCGACCCCCCCACCGTTTTGCGAGCCTAACAGACTCATTCCTAGAATTTGGTCGCGAGCCTAATAAGTTAATCGCACTCGCCTCTATCGCAGGTATTGAAAGCGACACTTTGCTCACTGATCCTGTCTCTCCTGAAGAAGCAGTAAACGGCCCAGATGGTGAGAAGTGGCTAGAATCCATGGAGAAAGAGATATCCAACATAGAATCTAAGGATACATGGGTGGAGACAGTACTTCCACCGGGACAAAAAGCCATTGGATGTAAATGGGTATTCAAAGTGAAGACAGATTCTGAGGGAAACCGACTGAAGTACAAGTCACGACTAGTAGCCCAAGGCTTCTCACAGATACCAGGTGTTGACTACCAAGAAACAATCGCACCTGTAGGAAGATCGGGATCGTTGCAAATACTCTTGACTATAGCAGCAACCAAAGATCTCAAAATTCGTCAGGCCGATGTTGAAGGGGCGTATTTAAACGGTAAACTCAATGTTGAAATTTACATGAAGTATCCCAAGGGGATAAAACCAAAACCTGGATGTAATATCTTGAAGTTAATAAAGTCTCTTTACGGTTTAAAACAATGGGGTAGAACATGGTGGATAGAACTCGGGGAAGGATTATCTCACCTAGGTTTTTCAAGAATTGAGTCAGATTGGGGTCTTTACTATAGACCAGAAGGGAAAATTGAAGGAAAGGGAGCAGCAATACTGCTAGCCTATGTCAATGATCTAGTATTAGCCACAAAATTGAAGGAAGAAGCAAAGGAGATTTTTGATGGGCTAGGGAAAAGGTGGATAATAACCGACCTGGGGGAGATAAGTACCATTCTGGGTATGAAGGTAACAAGGAATAGAGAAGAAAAAATGATATGGTTAAACCAACCAGCGTATATTGGTGAGATAGTTCAGAAGTTCCCTGAAGACGACTTACATCGAGATCGAACAACGTCATTACCCCTTACTGCAAAAAAATCATCGATGTCGGAAGTGGAAAGTGATATTTGACCATTTCAAGAGTTGATAGGATGTCTACAGTGGTTAGCCACATGTACACGACCCGACATATCATATGCCGCCTCATACCTTGCTGGGTACCTCACCAAACCAACAAAGAGAGTGTGGGAAGAAGGAATAATGGTAATGACATACCTTCGGTCCACTCGGTTAGATGGTATTTGTCTCGGCGGCAAGGCTAGCAATCTAGCAGGATGGGTCGATGCCAATTGGGCAGGATGTAAAGACACACGACGATCAACAACCGGCTGGATCTTTATGATGAACGACTCACCGATAACATGGAGTTTAAAAAGACAAGCTACAGTATCATCGTTGACAGTCAAAGCAGAATACACCGCAATGGCTGAAGCAGCAAAGGAAGCTCAGTGGTTGAGAGGATTACTGAGGGAAATAGGCTACGATCAGCTAAATCCTACTGTCTTAAATTGTGATAATCAAGGATCAATATCACTAGCGAGAAAACCTGGTACTCACCAGAGGACAAAGCATATTGATATTTGACATCATGCTCTTCAAGATCTGGTCATTAATAAAGTTATTGAACTAGAATATGTCAGTACTGTCTCTCAGAGGGCAGATGTACTCACGAAGGCTTTAGGGGGACCAGTACATTTGGTGAATATGTCAGCAATACGTGTAGAACCACCGAAGAAGAAAAACACTGGTTCAGTATACGTGACATTAGATGATGATGAAATCATTGATTACAATTATCCTGATTTTGAGGATCTAGGAGATCTATCAAGTGGTACAGAGAACGAAGTGGTACCAGAGAGAGAAGTGTGGGTAGAAGGAACTTCAGAGAAACCCACCGAAGAAAAAGAGACCACCAAAGGAAAAGTTCTCGTGAGCCAAAATGTAAAATTTTCAGATGTACCTAAGAATGTGAGTAATTCTAAGATAGGTCAGAAGCCACCGGTAGAACCTAGAATTGTTAGCAAAATGAAAGAGAAGGGACAGAAGAGAAGGGAAGGCCAATTACATGGGGAGAAGAGAGAGAAAACTATGTATTCCCCGTCTCCTCATCACGACCCCTCATTTCGTAGTCTAGGACGTCCCTCACCGCCCCTTCCCACGCCTCCATCTCGTGGAGTAGATCAAATAAAGGGGACGAGGCCCCTTGTCCACCACGAGAAGCGGACACCAAAAGATACCGAGAGTACGAGATGGTTGACACCAACATCCGGAGATGAAATGTCAACATTGGAGAGAATTCAAGAAATCAGTCTAGATAATGACAGAATCAATAAACAGCATACCTTTTCTCTCGGACTCCCTCCACAGACCAACCAGGAGAAACCCACGACAAGACATAATGACATTTTTTATAAAAATAAAAGTTTTTCGGTGGGTGGTGATTCTATGAGATATCGTCAGCCAGAACCATGAAGGAAATTCATTGATTCTTGGAATTCTACTACTAAACCTGAAGTTTTAAGAAGTAGACAGGATAGAAGGAAGTTCAGACAGTCAGAAATGAGTGATAAAAGTGGAGAAAGACGAAAGGTGGACATACCGTTAATTGGAGGTAAAAGTGATGAAGTAAAAGGAAAGATAGAGAAGAGTGAGCTGTCAGTAGTCAGTGGTGACCACATGTCAGAGCGGAGCCCCACCAAAATTCATTTCACGATTTCACCTACCACTACTACCACACACATAACACTCAATATTTCATCATTACTACCTTCTACATCATCACAAACCTCGCTGTCGCCATCAATAAATCGTCCGGGACTACTGCAGAGTCGTGCATTGTCCCGTGGGGGAGTGTTAGCCGATAGAATCTGGCCAGGACGGCCAGACCGCCGTTAGATAATTACCCCTTCCGTCGAATATTTCTCCGTTCAACTTATCCTCTGAACTTTATTCGATTGTCTCTGGTTTACTGTGTGTGAGTGGAGTGTGATAAGTATAGAGACATGTAGAATTGATGCATGCTCTTTTCCAGGATCATTGGCTTGTAATTCCCGATCCAGAAAGTTTTCTTGTTGATGATCTGTTTCCTGATGATTAGATGATGATACAGAGGGGGAACAGAGCATGCATCCATTCTACATGTCTCTATACTTATCACATTCCACTCATACACAGCAAACCAGAGACAATCGAATAAAGTTCAGAGGCGAAGTTGAACAAAGAGAAATCCAATGGAAGGGTTAATAATCCTAGTGAGGATTTGGCAGTTGCAGGCCGATCCTGTCGGCTGACCACTGATCCTGTCGGCTGACCACCAGCGCTTGTTAAGATAGTGACCGGCGCACGGATTGTCTCTCGTGTTTAAAGGTGGCGGTAGGGTCGTTTCTCACAAGACCGTGAGAAAGGCGGTGGATGGCTGTGAACGGTGAGAATGGAGAGAAAGTGATACTCTCTGAGTGTGGAATTTCCGTGAGAAACTTGGGTGGCCATGCACCCCATCAAGAGGTTAAAACTGAGACTCCCCTCTAGTTTTCACTGATAATCTTCACAAGCTGCTCTCATTACCATGAACGATCATTCTGTCCTCTTTGATTCAACCACCTATTTTGTCTGGGGGCTCATTTCTGGGAGAGGTCAAGCAAGCCCTCACACTGAAGATATCATGGAGAAAACACAACACGCCTACGCGGCCTCAAAGAGAGTCCATCAAGACTACACGCGGAGGATAGCTAATCAGGAGTCAACCACCGGAGCAAGAGAGGTTGCCAAGTTGCAGTTGACCGTCAAATTATCACGCCTCATTCTTACACTTGCCAATCGTGAAGTTCCATCAGTTGAGGGTATCTCAGATGATTATAAGGATTATGACAACCATCAAGATCTTCATGAGGTATGTGCGTTTGAAGCTATGTGGTACCAAGTGTGCAACCAAGGCTGGCTTGACGGGTTCATCCCTTTGCCCAGTACCCAGCCTCAACCGAAGACAGAAGTCAATATGACCAATGCCATGTCGGTGACTCGCTTCCTGACAGCAATTGAGAGAGTGCATGACAATATTCGGGTTGAGTCAGACGGATACTTAATGTACATGATGGCAGCAGGAGCAGCAAGTTGCCGTGAGCAACTGACCTTGGCTCATCACCAGATTCCGCCAAGACTAAACCACATCCAGGAAGGTTATAATCCAGAAGAGGATAATTCATATATTGGAGACTTTCTCAAAGCCCACTCAACCCATAATCACCCTAGATTGTCTATCCCTGATGCTGTACGGTCGTGGCTCAGTGACAACTCACCACGTGTATTGCTAATGCTTCCCTCATCAGCCTATCGTAGGCCTACCATAAATGGAGGTGATATGGTAACCCTTGACCTCAACATTGTTGGGATGTTACCAACAGGTGGCACACAGATTACCAATCACGGCAAAGAAGAGAGCGCCGAGTAGGGAGATTTCTCGGCAGCCCAAATGCTGAATTAGCTCTGGCGGGAGAATCACTTGGCACAGCTTAGTTGAAGCTTGTAGAGAACCGTGAGAATGAAGGAATGATCAGATGCAGAGATGACTGAAGCTCACACATCTGTTAGGGACACAGCCGCGGACGGACCCCTCCGGAGCTGCACGGACCTGATCAGACCCAGCTGGAGACATTCCCCTCTGGAGGTGCATGATTTTCTAGCAGACCCAGCCGGGGATATGGGTGTACTTCATAAGGAAGTCACAATTTTGACAGTCCTTCTGCCTTCAGTCAACGGTCTACTGATAATTGAAGGTAAGCCAACATCTCCAGGATCTTGGAGAGGTTTGAGACAATGTGATTGCATGATAGCAGGACACATTTACCCCCACCATCTGTCCTGACATGTGTTGGAGGGATCCGATAAGCTATGCGTGTTGAAACTTTTCTCTTTGTTTGTTTGTTCATGTCTTTATGCATTACTATATTGTTCGATTACAACTGATTATGAGACCCATGCTTTAATCGACTAAGCAGATTCAGCAAGCATAATCTACCCATCGCTCGTTCACTTGTTCACTCAACCAGCTCGACCAACCGGCCTCCTTGCTTGTCTCGTCACCGCTGGAGTATAGATAGGGAAGTCAGGAAGACTAGCCATTTGTGTGAGTGGGAGTGCGACAAGCCTTAGGTTCTTATACCAACAGTCACTTCACTTGAACGTCATTGTCTTCTTGCTTGTTTGGACGGCTGCCCACCACATACATAGGGAACTCGTCCGACATTGATTAGATCAAACTCGTCCTGTCCTGTCCTCATCTCGCTCAACATGAGCATCATCACCCCCATCATGTCATCCAATGATCTCTCCAAATTGTTTGACACTGTGCCCAAGCTCACTGGGAAAGAGAACTACCTGGTATGGCATCAGAGGGTAACAGTCGTCCTCTTCATGACTCGAACTCGCTCGTTCGTTCTCCCCACCACCATAGCACCAACTGCTACCACTACAATCCCCTCCACTGGATCATCCCTTTTGCTCAAAACCTGGAACGAACGAGATGCACAGGTTGCTGCCGCCATCCTGCACTCCACTTCTGAGGACATCCTTGCAGCTCATCTTCACCTTTCGTCACCTGTTGATCCTTGTTCAACCAATTGACCGGTTTCCACCACCATTTCCCCTGCTTATCAAGCTCGAACAATCTATGATTCACTCAAGAAAACCTATGGAACTACTGGTGCTCAATATTCGTCCTGTCATGAATTACACCATCACGTGTTCCTTGTTGCGCAAAACAAGTACAACCTCCACCTTTTTGTTTTAATATTTCACCTCTGCTCTCATGCCTATCAGACATAAACTCCAAGTATCATTCTAGTATGTCAGTGCTTAGCTCCCATGCCTGCTGTCACGAACTATGTTGTGACACCTCGATTATTCCATCAACAATGACCCTCCTTTGACCATCAAAACCCCCATCACATTTTAACCTCTTTACTCTACACATAACTCAGGACATCTGAGACCAACCACGGCAAAGTACAACGGGAGAGTAAGATATATGGAGGTCTGGAGCATAGGGACAACAAAGTACCGCAAAGTTAGACGGAGTTACGCTAGGTAGGGACAATGTGTCACGAACTACATCGTAACATCCCTGACAACCGCCATCACCAACCCTCCTTTCACCATCATCGACCTTCCTTTCACCATCACCAACCTCCACTCGAACCACTGAGACGGACTACGGCAAAGTTACGAGAACCAAGAGGGTATTATTTGTCACGATAACCCCGCCTAGCGGAGAACTACGGCGAAGTTAGGGGAAGGAAGCCGAAGGAGAGAAGAGCAGGGGAAGTTAGGCGAAGTTAGTCGAAGTGAGTGGAGTAGGACATCGGGGATATGGCAAGGTACGGCGAAGTTGAACGAAGAGGACTGAGCGTGAGGCAGTGCAGGAGTTGAGGGACGTTCTATGAGAAGTGGGGAGTAGTATAGATAGTTTACAGATCGCTGAACTTCTTCAGCGATCCTTGATTGTTGTCAGTAGCGAGCGATATATTCAGTAGCTACAACCATCGAGTTAAGGAGAGCTACCACCGAGCAGTTTGACGCACTACGGCAAAGTTAGCCGTAGCTCATCGACGATCATCTTATCACTTACCACTCGACCTATCACTACGGCGTAGTTAGCCGTAGTTCCCCGACGAGTACCCTGTCCTAGGGAGACATCGACGCCCCACTACGGCGTATTTAGCCGAGGTTTGTCGACCGTCGGTCTGTAGAAGAGAAGAAACGACGATTGTGACAGCGAGTACGTGGGAGGAGTCGACAAAGGGCGGTTGACCGCTGTGGAGGACGCCGAGATGACACGAGGAATTTCAGGTGTTTGGGTACGCCCCGGTACTCGGCGACCCTGTGAGGATTCTTGGTGGTCACCTGCACGATTTAGACTTTGACGTCCTCCGAGGTCGAACGCTTGGCGGTTTGCATTGTCCAGTTGCACAGCCGTTTTCACCAACCTGTCCAGGTCATGGAAGCTTGGCCTGTGCTGTAGCCGCATTAACTCTCGTCGTACCCGGGACGTAGTCCATCGTAGAAAGTAAGACATTTCTGGTGTTTGTTGTAATCAGATCTTGACGTCAGAGACCGGAAACAGATGGAGAATTCCATGACTGTAGTTGTCTGAGTGCATTCTTGGATTTGCCTGTGTAGTTCCAGCTCCCGATCCATTGGTCCAAACATCTCGCGGAGTGTATCCACGTATCCGTCGAGTGTGTGAGGTTTGTTGCCGTCTTCTCGCAAGCTCTCGTACCATATTTCAGCGTTACCCCTTAGGTACATAGATGCAAACTGCACCTTGTCCTCCTCCGTTGGGTAGATTGTCGCCGCTACCGTTAAAAAACGCTTGATCTGATGAATGTGGGCTTCGAGCTTGTCCAAATCGTTTTTGCCATGGAACATATCGGGTTTGGGTATCGCCTTGATGGCTTCGCTGACCATTCGGGGTGTCCTTGCCACGCTCACCTTGTCAACCTGCCAACTACGGCTACCGATCTTGCTCAGTTCATCGAGCCTTCGGGAGCGGAAGCCACCGGGGTCGCTGACTGTCCCTCGACACCCCCCCAAAGTGTCATCAGGATCCTGGTGTACCCTGGGGTCCGTCCCAAGTGCCGCAAGTCCCCTCACAATCTCGGCCTGCTGTAGCAGCAAGCCTTTGCGGGAGGTGGCCAGGACTGCGGGTCGTACAGTTGGCAACTGCGCCATCGTTGGTAGATGTGGTGGCGTCTCGGGCCTACGTAGTCGCGTCCGATCCCTCCAAGATTGACGACCAGCACGGTGTATGGTACTGGTCTCGCTAACAACTGAGGCGCTGTCATCCTGGGTATTGGGCGGTTCCGAATTTGTTGGTCGAATGTATTTCTTTTCTGGTGGCATGACTATTGATTTGTAATTGATATTTACTGGTTTGGGTTTGTCTATTACATTACCCCAACTTCCGGTTCTAGCAAGGGGAAGTGTCGTCTACGCACTGGTCGGTACAAGTACGGGAAGAATGTATCTACTGTCAAGACGGCTCTAGGTTCTCGAGAGACAAGGCCTTGCTACTGACTAGTGCTTAGACGATCTATGTAGTTCAGACAGAGGAAGATACATTCTTCAAAGAGATAATGGATAGCTTCGAATAATGTATCTGCTGACTACGCTCAGGGACTCCTCAGCCATAACTCTGTGGACCCTGATCTCCTAATACCGACGTGGCAGTCATGTTCATGACATCAGGTAAGCCGCCGCCGGCGTCCTCCATATACCAGAGTTGTCACCACGTGAAACCCAGAGATGTGGGAATAGCCATCTTGCATCACTCAATAATCTCCACTGATCTACATACTCTACTGGACCCTTTCAAGCTCATCCATCACTAGGATCATGACCTGCAAAGCTTCCTATGGCTGTAAGTCAGTGACGCAAACCCCTATTGATCGCCGAACTGTCAGGACCAGACGTTGTAGATAGTCTGCGTCACTTGTGCTATGGCTGTAGAGGCCTCGTAGGGGACAAACCTATTGATGTAGAAGATCTAATAGACCTGAAAGGTTATTGAGATCGAGTGGCGAAAGATAATACTAAAGAACACAAAATACATTCGACAAGGGGACTATGGAAATAGACTGCATCTATATAGAAAAGGGGAACGGGGTGATACCGATGTAACGGAGTAAAGACGGAAATGGACATGGGGTAGAAGAGCGAAGTAAGACGGAGATCAATATGAGACACGGGGATCGAGGAAAAGTATCATGTGGTGTGAGAAAACGGAATAGGGGTAGTAGGAGAGGACATGGTAATGGAAAAGAAGTACGACTACTACACTCCCGTAACCAGGTACCCGTGATCCTGACACGAACCTCCCCTGGTGTCCCACGAGTTTGTTCGATTCGGCGTCCGAGGTGATCTGCAAGACACTGGCCTGGGTGGCCGGATCCAATCCAATTCCATTGAGGAGAACCTCCAATACCTTGCAGTGGTCCTGGCGACCGAGTGTACGCTCCAGGTTGTCGGCCTGTTCTTTGCTTGCCTCCGGTTTCCGGGGGGCGCGTGCAGAGCCTGTTTCCACTGGATAAGAGGACCCTGTGGCCAAGGAGATATCTTCTACATCCTTTTCAACAAGGTCTCTGTCCTGATGCATTCTTTTTACGGTTTGGAATGGAGACCACAAATGAGGTGGCCCAAGTGAGTCAACACCCTAGGCTTCAAGCTGAATGCGGATGCTTGTAGCAAGTGTCCTGTGAGTGTTGGCAACGTGGATCATCGCTCGAGTGTCGTCTGGCCACTCGTCCGGTGCGTCCTTGCTATATAGAAAGACATAAGATGCCACACGTTCTGCAGCTTGCATCCGGGCAACATCTCCACTGGGTTGAGCGAGTTCACTGCTTTGGATTTCTCGATTCTTCGCTATATGCATTATTATGTCTAGCAGTCCAGAGTTGTCGGAAACCTTCTTCATGTCGGTCAGCAAGGGAGATTGCCCCCTTCCAAAAAAAATATTGTTTCCAGCATCATAATCTCCATCAATGGTGATACCTGTTGGCACTGGTTTGTCGAGCAAGAACCGGGAAAGGCGAGATTGTATCAATGCAGTGTACAGAACGTCCATGCTGGGCTGTGACCAGGTGAACTTCCTAGTATCTGGAGGTTGGGAGAAGTACAGTTGAAGCCTGAATAGGCTGCCATAGGCTCCTGCACAGGCGGCCAATCGGCGTTTCACACTATCCATAGTTGCAAAGCATCCAGGACCAGCTCTTCGTAGGTAATCTTCAAATGCTTCATCATTCCCCATGTTAGTTTCCATGATGAGCTAGCTTCTCAAACACTTACTGCAAGTTGAGATGATTTAGGGGTATTTGGACACTTGCATGGCCTCTAAAACCAATTTTCACTGTCTTTTCTTGCCAACTTCTTTCCCACATCACACCTTTGATTAGTTTCTGACTTTCAGCCTCATGAGAAAACCGGGAAAAATTACCCCTTCGGGCCGGTCCACCTCGAATTTGACCCGCGATCTCAACCTATCAAACTTCCTCCCTTGTTCCCGTATATCAATCGTCATCTCCATAGGTGGCCGGTGTAAGAGAGGATTCGACGACGAGTTCGACTGCATAGCTTCGATTTGAGGTGGGGAGGGGAAGGGGTTTCACACGTTTCCCCCTTCTCTTCTTCTGCATCCACATCGAAATCTCGTCGACGGCCGGTGATTGAATCTCGACCGAGCTCCAATTAATGCTATGCTAGGGGAAGTACGTGGTGAGATCGCGAGAACGAGGATGAGGCGATACGTGAGACCGAGAATGAGGCGATACGTGAGACCGAGGATGAGGCGATACGAGAGACCGAGAATGAGGCGATACGTGAGAAAGATGAGAAGCGATGCATGAGAAACGACGGATAGACATACGTAGCAGAAATTTCCTACGCCTCAAAATCTCTTACTAACAATCTATCCAATTCGGATCATCTCTCTCTATCCCTCATCGGATCATAACCGTCCGGATCATCCTACTCGTTGATATCTATAGTCGGATCTTGTTCAACAGTATTGTCCACCAGGATTATTCTTGCATCCTCCTATGGTCGGATCTTCCTCGAATACGCAGTCGGGACATTGCCTAGATGTCAGTTCAAAGACCTGAATGCTCACGACAAGATCCGGTCTTTTGATGATATTCTCGTTTCAAGAGACTTGGACGTTATGTCGTTTTTGGCGTCTCAAAAGGAAGTTTGAAGGGGAAGGACGGAGAAAAGGAAGGAGATGTTGAAAGGTTTAGAAGTGATAAACCTCACCATTTCACCACGTATTCGCCTGTACTCTTGTCCAGTCCTAGAGCTGAGAATAGACCGGTTGACATGTCGACGTGATACATATCGGGACAGCTTCTGGACTCATTAGTATCTCATTCCATATTTATTCCTTATGTGACTTCTTCTTGTGAGTGTTACCAAGAGGTAGATAGTCAGTGAGCAGGTCTGGCAATTACCGAGACAAAGACCAGCATTAGACAATGAAAGCAGAGAATGGAAGAGGAAGAAAAGATAAGACACTCACGCGCACTCATCCGCAACTACAGCAGTTGCTTGTTTTCCCTTTGAAGTGACGATAGTCAAAGTCTTGCCACAACTCGGACCATCGTATCCATTCCCTCCGAAAACATGCCATGAAAGCGCAACGATATTATCTGAATCTTTGTATATCTTTCCGCATGCTCCCGGGTTAGAGTCCTGCGTGTACCAAGTTGCGTTGCGTGTTTATCAGCTCGTCTCTTCTAAACCTTCCACTCGCTCCTCATAAAGCGTATCATAACACCAAGTGGTAGTTTCACTCCAAGAGGTAGAGGGCGTTCATTCCAAGGGATAGATAGTATTCATCATGAAGAAATAGATGGCCGAGTGATAGTGTGAGGAATAGTGCGGAAGGAATGGATGATAAGAATATAAGAACTTATCTGAAAACCATGTATCCCCTGCTGGCGTTTTACCATTACCACCATTTCCAGGAGTTGATTTACCTGGATTGGCCGATTTAGATGTAGAAGCCGGTGGTTTGGTATTACTTGAAGTTTCCGAATGAGCCAGAAAATTCCCTCCACCCAATTCACAGTCATCATCACCACCGTCATCGTCCGTGAGATCAAGGTTGATACCCAATTGTAAATCCAGTCCGTCTAAACATGATGGTAGGTCTATAGCTGGAGCTGTTTTATCAGAGAGATTAATGTTGATGGCTATAGAACAAGCATCATCTCTTTTTCCTATTCCAATCTCATCTCTTCTCTCCACCTTGACGTCGTCGATGAAACGTTCAACCGAATCATTCTCGATGAGAGCCTCGGCCCTCTTTGTGGGTTGAGGTACTAAACGGTTCGGTTGTCGGGGAAGACGAGGCGGGGAAGTTGGATGATCATTTCGAGGAAGTACGGGAAGGGTGGTGATTCCTCTTTCTATATTCTTAGTTTCTATTGGGGTGATTTCAGTGTTCGAAGGAGCTTGAGCGACCAGTCGCTCTCGCTTAACATTGGGAGAGGTAGGATCAGGAGATGCGATCACCAGCGTGGGTCCGACAAGAAGGAACAATACGAGGGAAAAAAGAAAAAGAGTGAGAGGTGGGAGTGTTAGTCCCGTCATGGTGGATCGGTGGATATCGTTCGACCCTTTGAAAAACGAGACCAGCTCGACCGGAGAACTCTGCACAGATGAAGACGATCGGGGTGGTTAATGATTATGAATAATCTGGTGGATGCAAAACAAAAACACCTATAAAGATGACCAGCACTCTGAGAGAAAGTCTTGGCGGCCGTTTTGGTTGGTCATTGACCCTTTGAGCGACAATGGGCTCCAATCACACTACAACCCCTGTCCATCTCGGATTGGTCTACTGTAAGAGCAATGGGAGAATTGGAGAAGCTAGTTAGATGTATCTTTCCTTTGGGTCAGTGACCGGCAAGATATCAGTATACAAAGGAAGTCGTGCGAACTTTCGCATACCCCGAACCATGGCCAAAGGGGTCAGACGGTGGTGCAATAAAGATGATACACCCCTGTTACGTTAACCATAACCGGATAAGAATGAGTATGCACAAAATGACGATGCACCGATATGCCAGATGATGACACTATGTTGGTGCAATAGATCGACAACTACGCGGTAATTTCTTCTCGTTGTTGATTTTGATTTTGATTGCGACGTTGGTTGGTGATTGGTCCTTGAGCTGCAAGTGCCTCGGCTTCGGCCGCTACCGTCCGAGCGCCGGATACGGTTTTCTTCCATTCCTCCAAGCGACGCTCAAGTAACTGCCACTCGGTGGGACCGAATCGTCGGGTACCGGTGGAAGAGACGGAGGAGATGGTGACGAGTGAGGATGGTTGAGAGAGACGAGCTTTAAAGAGGTTGGCTCGAATACCTAGGGAGTCAGCTACTTTATCGATTGCTCTTGTGACTTCCGCTCACCATCAATGACCCAAGCCTCCACATCAGCCTCTGGGACCTGTAGAGCAGTGGCAATTTGAGAGTATTGTAATTGTCGGGATGAAGAGCGAGAGGCGAGGGTGACGAGTGCGATCAGTTTGATCTTCCGTAAAAGAGAGTCGGCCGTCAATGACGCCATTTCTGACCTAGTGAGCATAGAGATCAACCAGATGATAAGTCACTTACGTTGTGACTCGATCCAAGAAGTATTTGATGTGACCCAAGCTTGTCCCACCTTTACAGCCTCCAACTCGTCCGTCTGGGTGAACAGCCCCACCAATTCTTTCACAGGTCCCTCAAGCTTCTCACTGACCCCTGGAACTCGCAGCACTTCCTCAACTTCAAACCTCTTTTCATCTGTGAGAGCAAGCAAAATCGTCTTCTCCGCCAACTTCGCGTCTACGTGTTGCTTTAGAGCTACGATATGTAGCTGCAAGGCTTTTGATAATTCGCCAGAAGTCTGATAAATTTCCGCGGCAGAAATGAGGAAGGTGACCTTTTCTTGTGATGGAATAGCCCATTGAGTCAAGGCCGATTCGAGGAACGAGGGTGACAGGGGGAAGGTTGAGAGGTCGCTAGCCTGACTGAGGAGAGATAAAATGGCGAGAAGAGTGTGAGGACGAAGTGAAGAAGCAGGGGAAAGGTAATTGTAAGTGTTGTTCAATCTTGGAGATTAGCTCATGGATCTGATTCTTTTGGTAAACGACTGACATTCGACATGCGGTCTCAAGTTTGAGTGTTTTTTTGGCAGCGAAACTAGCAGCACCACCAGCTTTGACAGCGTCAACGACTGCTCGAACTTGTTCGTCATATTCTTCAGGGCTCAAGTTGGTCGTTAGTAGGTGAAGTAGTAGTATATGAGCAGGTTCGGCTTCTGAGATCATCAGCACTCATCCCATCATCATTCCCAAGAAGATTCCAAGGATGGTGAAGGAATGAAAACGATCAACTCACCCATCTCTTTCGAAGATTCCAAACCCCCTTTCAACTCTATCACCTTGGCTACTAAACTCTTCACGACCTCTTTCCGCTTCTCCTCCGGTATTTCCTGACCCTCTTCCACCTCGAGCTGAGATTGAAAGGAAGCCGTGAAAGCTCTTGATGAAGCTGAGTCAGGTGTTGGAAGAGAACGTGAAAGATGTATGGCTACTTCTCGGACCTTATTATCAGCTGATGATATTTGAGTAGTTAGACAGAAAACCAGCTCACCTGATCTCTGAACGGTAGCTCGGGTACGATTGCCACGCAGTCCGTCATGATGATGATGAGAAAAGTGGTTAGGTATAGCAAGAACGAAGGGGAAGATGGAAATTGTGAACTGAACAATAGGTGCCACAATGTGCCACTTTCTTCAAATCCCTACAAACTCCGCGTGTATATTGTGGGGCACCACCACCATCTTTCACTCCCACCCAGTCATCCAGAATTCTTTGGCTCAACCTGCTTCAGTAATCGAAAACGATGCCACCCAACGCCTCGACATCTACGATACCCCCAAAACTACCCCCAGACCAAGTACCTGTAGTGTTTCAGAGAATACGATCGGAAATGCAAAGTTTAGCGCAGAAAATAGGGGAGCTCGAATCTGAAGCGGAGGAACATGCGTGAGTCTTCCAGTTTTCCACTTCAGGTTCAGGTGTAAAGGTGACAACGACATTCAGCTGACAGGACAGATTGGTGCTTAACACATTACAACCTTTACTCCAATCGGCTCCTGAGAGAACATGTTATCGTCTCATTGGAGGTGTTTTGGTACAACGGACAGTGGCGGATGTCATTCCTACTCTCGAAACCAATTATTCTGGGATTAAGGAGGTGTTGGAAACTTTAACGAAAAGTTATAAGAATAAAGATGAAGAGTTTGTTGCTTTTCAAAGACAGTATGATATACAAGTGAGTCCAAGGACGCCTTGACTGACTTTTGCACTGAAGCTAATCAGGTAGATGCCTAAATGATCTCTTATACCCTATCATGTATCATCTACTCAGTATCAGACCCATCACGCACAAACATGCATCTCCCCTTTCTTCAATTCACAAAATCCATCTTAATTTCTATTCTGCCTCACGCGTGAATCCCATAACCAGCCTGTCAAATTACCCAATCGATCTCATTCTTCCCTCAAAGCTCTACGGATTTTCGTACCTGTTGCTCGTTGCCATTGCTTCCGACATTGAGCAGCTGTCATCCCACCGCCCATCTTAACGTCAGCTCCTTACTCGTCCCTCATTCAACAACGTCAGTCGACAAGTATCAACACATCCACCTCACGGCACTTCATGTGACCCAGAAACGCAAAATCGCCACGAAAGTGAGCTCAGGAAACGAAGCTTCGAAGACCGGACATGAGATGTATGAAAAGAAACAAGGACCAGACAAGGGATAAAATGTGAAAGGAAAATAAGGACCAACTTTTTGAGCTACCGAACCCCAATCAACATTCCCAACTTCTTGATAAACTTCAAATAACCTCAACCTCATCTCTCCCGTCCAAGCAGGTCCAGGACCTAATTTCTTTCCTTCTCCCCTGACCTTCTTCTCTGGCGTAGTTGGAGAATCACCTTCAGATTTCATTTTCTTAGGTGATACTTCTGGTGTACTATCATCTTCCCTTTTCCCATTGATCCTCCCATACTTGTAATCTTGTTGATCTTTATCCGATTGTTCATGCTTGATCAAAGAAGAATATTCACGTTTGACACCAGACATTTTGCGTGTGTTGTTTTGAAAAGGTTTCGTTTGGTTGAAATGTATGGTAAGTTGACCTTTGGTTGAAAAGAGTTATAAAAGGGCGTAAAAGATGGTTGTCAAGGTAACCCCTATGTCGTCGTCGAGTCAGGAGATAGGATAAGTTCGGTTTAGAACCGATTCGGGTATGGAACTAAGACAAGATAGGAATAAGACTGGATCGGGAAGTAAAATGCGGTTTTTGAACCTTGACGACTAAAGGAATGGAAATTAGGTAAGGTACGGGAATGAGAGACAGATAAGGTATTTAGGGGATCACGATATCAATTTCAAACTAAATATCTGGTAAGCTTGTTTTTTTTTGTCCAAGTCAATCATCTTCTCAACGATCAACGACTCTTCTCAGACGAGTACTTTCAAGACATACAAGACATCTTCTCATTGGGTTTCTTTTCATTCAGAAATCAAATAATATGGCTCCAAAAAGAAACATCGATTCGATCTCTCCTTCTCCCATTTCTTCCGAATCACTCGAGGAGAAGAATGCCACTCCCAAGAAACAAAGATCGACACCATCACCCAAAGGAAAGAAATCGACCTCATCACCTACCGTGAAAAGCGAATGGACGTCAGAAAGACATTTAAAGTTGTTTCAAGCTTTCGTAGAGGTTGCCAATGTTAAATGGGAGGATGTTGCTGCTAAAGTGAGTCGTCAAAATATCCTTTTTCTTCCCTTTATCTTAACACTCTTCCGGTCTCACTACATCGGATAACAAATCACCATCACGTCAGATACTTGCTGGATCTGACGAATCGTCCCATATATCTTCAAAGTGGTTAACTGACGGCTGTGACGTTCGCGTAGGAGATGGCTGACGATAGCTTGGTGACGGATCCACTAGTAAGATGTGTAGGGAACAATGGCAACGCGGGACGGGGAAGAAGATCCGAGAAGCCTTGTCAAGAGATTGAACCCTGGAGTTACATGAGCAGGTAGATTAAGGGTCATGATGGTAAAGTACGATCGATGAAGGAGTGAAGAGGGGGGAAATTTGGAGTCTGTAGATGATGGTCGAATTTGGGAACTGTGCATAGAATACATACAATGAACACATGCAGTTTCGTCATTTCAACATCGTTCCAAGACTACTGCAATTCCTTGACCTCCACCGATACAAGCCGCACCTAAAGCCCATTGTTTGTTCAAACGATGGAGATTGTGAGTCAGATTGGCAAGTATTCTAACCGTCAGCTACATAAGTTGTTGATGAGGAAACTTCAGCAGACTCACCTTGCGCCTGATGCGCCCAATGGATGTCCAAGAGCTATAGCACCTCCAAACATGTTGGTCTTCTCCGTAGGTAATTCCAACTCCCTTTGAACGGCTAGCCATTGAGCTGCGAAAGCCTATGCCGTCAGCCACACATTCAGTAGAGAAATCTTCCTCTCTCTCTCTCTCTCTCTCTCTCTCTCTCTCTCTCTCTCTCTCTCTCTCTCTCGCGTCTCCGGAGATCATGACACTCTAAGTCAAATCTCAACCGTGGTCACGAAAGAGTGTCTGAATCTGGGTACAACCAATGGGAGAGAATAGACCTTGAAATATATGAAGGGACAACTTCACCTCGTTCACTTCAATCAGATCCATGTCTCTCACCCCTTTCCCAATCTTCTTCAAAGCCTCTCTCACACTCACAACAGGCCCGATCCCCATGATCTCCGGCTCACAAGCGCTCCAAGCGTAACTGGCTATTCTTGCCATTGGTTTCAACCCAAATTTGCTCAAACTCGACTCGGAGACAATCACGTTGGCGGCTGCACCATCACAGATCCCACTGGCATTACCGGCTGTCACGACGCCCGTTTTGGGTATGAACACACTAGGTAAGGATGCGAGAGAGTCGAGAGAGGTTTGAGGTCGAGGGTGTTCGTCGATGTCCAAAGAGGAAGGACCTTTTTTGCCTTTGAGAGGGACAGAGACCAGTTCTGCGGTGAACGCCCCGGAGGCGAGTCCGGCGGCATAGCGTTGTTGAGAGGTGAGTGCGTAGGCTGGGGTCAGCAGGCAATTACAAGGGTAAGTAAGTGATATGGATGTTAATGTAGTACTCAAGTCACTCAATTCCAATCCTCCAGCAAGAGGCAGAAGCGAATACTCAAAGTGACGTGGGTATGGTTGGGAAGGGGGGTGGGGGGGGGAGGCGGGAAAGAAGTGGATGTGATACAAACCATCACATTCCTCCCTTGTGATACCATACTTCTTTGCCAAGTTTTCAGCAGTGACTAAAAGTCAGTTTCATTCCTTCACGCTTCTACTCAGCCATACGCTGGAATATCCATTAAAGCACGCTCCCCTTTGTGGTTCTCCCGCACTGGTCGAGTCTGAGTCAAGACTCGACAAATATTGTGAATCGTGAATTGACCGTGAGGAAATGCCAGATCAAGGTGTGATGTAAAAAATCAAAGAAAGAATGTACTCACTTCCCATAGGAGTCTTCTCCCCTCCAGGATTTTGATCAATCAAAGCCGCCGCTAAAGAATCTTCCAACCTCATATCCACTCCATATCTCGACCCATACCTCGTCGAGCCGGACAAGGTATAAGGACTCATAGACATTGCTTCTGTTCCTCCAGTGAGACAAACTTCAGCTTCACCCAAAGCGATAGTTTGAGCTGCCGTGATGGCCGTTTGGAATCCTGATCCACATAATCTTTTCTTTTCAGCTTTGTCCTCAAGAGAAATTGAGCTGACTGACCTGTTCAAAGTAAGAGCAGGGACTGTAGAGGGGAGTCCTGAAAGATGACCTACGTGTCGGGCTAGATAAGGCGTGGAATTGTCTGTTTGTGTGACGTTCCTAGAGCCTCAGCTGGTGGTGACGAGTACTAGCAAACAGCTAAGGTTATTCCACGGTGCATTTGGGAGTTGAGAGGTACAGAGATGGCGGGGTCATGAGTACATGGATCAGAGAAAAGGAGGGACGGGTACGAACCCAAAGAAGACCTGATCGACTTGTATATCGGGCAATTGGGCCAAAGCTGCTTTACCTGCTATACCTCCTAGTTCAGCAGCTTTGAGATCTCTCAATCTGTTGGATTAGCTTGTTCATGACAGTTCCTACTCTGGATGTAGCAGAAAGACGGCAGAGTGATGGACCAATGAGTGAGAAGATGCGAGCCAAGTTTGGGGTTGCTACTCACTTTCCTCCATACGCCCCGAACGGCGTTCGTTTCGCTGCCACTATGTACGCCTCCTGTCTCTGGATATGGGAAGCGAGCTTTCTGATTGATGGTCTCATGATGAGGAATACTTGTAAATGCACAAATATGTGAGGGATGCTACGAGTTGTATGTACGAGGTGACTTGGAAAGAGGACAACCGGTTAACTTTTGAACCGGTGAGTCCACCCCCCTGTGCATCGTGTCAAACGTTACAAACATCTATGAAACCTTGTCCCGCAAGCGGTTCCGTATCAGAGCTTCAAGCTCTACATGATCTGTCCCATACAAACCACACCCAAGACCATACAGCTGACAAGGAAAGAACTGGTGGTTCGCCTCTGACGAATAGCGCTCGAGATAGAAATTGCCTGACTGGGAGTTCCGGTCGATTGGGGCTCTTCGCTTTGAGGCGTCTGGCTTCATGACCATTTACAGGTGGGGCATGACCTGGGATTAGTGGTCGTTCACATGAACCCCTCCACTTCAAAAATATTCTCTCAGCGTAAGGTAGGAGGAATGATGAAATGATGGGCAGGGCCTGAGTGGAAGGAAGTGAGGCGTAGGTGGGACGACGGAAACTCACCAGGTAATGTCAAAGATTCCATCGTCGGACGGGTAGCCGAAGGCGTTCCAGAATCCGATAGACATATCAACACTGTCTTTGTTACAGCCCCTGGTGGTCAGTCTCAACCCACTACGTTCACGGCGTATGTCAAAGTATGACATTCGAGATGATAAACGAGAAGTGAATGGCTTGAAAACTCACGGGCACTCGTCTTGTACGATAGCCGTAAGTTCTTTGCCGTTTCCAGCCTTGAAGTGAACTTTGTGACCACAGTTCTTGCCGTTGTTGTAAAACTCGGGTCGGAGAGCAACCAACCATGCTGAGTCGGAATTCCAATTCCCGCAGGCACCAGGGTTACCGTATTGATAGAAGTATGTGGCGATACCTGATCGTCAGCTCCATACTTCTTCTATTTTGTACCCACGGAACATTAGAAAGCGAAGTTCCCAAGAAGGCAATGAGGGGGTGGGTAAAGGAGGAAGAGAAGGACGGTGAAGCGACATATGGAATAGGGAGGAAAAAGAAGGGGTTGGGCTTGGACGTCATAAACTCACCATTGAAACTCCCAGTGGATCGTTCTTCGAGTTCTTGATGACCACCAGTGGGCAAAGCTGTGACTTGACCAAGGCCGACAAGGAAAGTGAGGAGAGTGAAGGCAAATAGTTTCATGGTGTGGAAGTAAGTGAGATTATGAAGTGATTACCAGATCGACTGGGCAGAGCTACCTGAGCTGAGTTGGTTGAAAGTGAAGAGTGACTTGAGATGTGTTTTAAAAAGAAGAGAACAGAGTAAAGTATAAATACCCAACAACTCATCTCGAAAGAGAAACCCCACTGCCTCATGTCGCACGGCGAGGGAAAGAGCAGGAGACCCGCGTAAGAGTTCTAAAAATGCTACGGGGCGCCAGTGGGAGGATCGAGCCGCAGGTTTGTACGATGATAGAGTTTACAGGGTTGTAAGACTGTAGACCGAAGTTGACAGACAAAAGCGAGTCATTCCTCATGTTTCGCCATGATCCACGCCAGTTGTAGACGATATTGGCCAGAACCTAATCTTGCTTGTTTGTATAGTGAAGCGGGAATCTGCCGTATGCACGTTCATCCATCATAGATTCGACGAATATCGTCGCTCAAACGTTTCGGGGTCATGCCTTTGGAAGATGGGCGTTCGGGGCGCTGGATTTTGGAATGATCTCTTTCTTGGCTGATATTGCGAGTAGATTGCCTTGGGTGTTATCATCGGACCGGATTGATCATGATTTGACTATCGATGATTATTGACAAGGTGCTTGCAGTTGAGAATATCCGGTACGGAAAGGTGTTGTCTGTCGCGTGTCGTACCGAGGTGGGGAAGGTCGTAAGCCGCTTGACGAAGGGCATGATCCTTACGAGACCGGCGTGTTGTGTATCGTGGGTAGAGGAAAATGTGAGTCGTATCAGGGAGAAGGGTCAAAAAGTCAGTAACGACCAAACAGGTACCATCGAGACACAGATAACACCCGAAGGCCGAACAGTCGGTCGAGAATTTGACTTTAGTCGATACTACTAGTGAGATCTACGATTCATCAAAATACCTCGTCGATAACTGACGATCACCATTTTTGACAACAAGTAGATCATGTATGGCGAATCAGAGGTAGATCCGGTTTCTGCTCGGGTTGATCGGAGTATGCGTCCATCCGGCAGAGTATACGTTCTCGCGAGGGATCCTCATAAGTTGAGTGAGAAAGCGGAGTCGCCCTTGAGAGATCTGGAATTGAGGAAGCGACTGGTCGCGGGGTGAGGTGAGACTTCCAGGGGAAGGCGTGGGGATGGACTGTCGAAAGTTTGTTTGTGAGATGTGAGAGGTGGTTCGACTGTGCGAAGGGTGAGAAAGTTAGGTAGGTTGCTAAAAATGGCTTCAGCCGATCGCAGGGGACAGAATGAGGAACGAGGTCTTTCTTCAGGCGAGGAAGGGAATACCATGGGTGTTAGAGAAACCATTACCCCTGTCGCGGAATGTGATTGTCATTAACCTCCTTGTTGTGAAGAAGCTTCTGCTTGTACCATTCCAAAACTCGATGTTCAAGCTGAAGACATAGGCCATGAGGCATGATTGCAATGGCGCAAAGAAGCCAAGAAGCCAAGAGGCCAAGTGGTGGTGAAGAGCCGACGGAAGCAAATCTCCACCAGTCGGCGTTCGCCGCTCACCACCGCCATCGTCTCCCACGTCACCTCTGCTTTGTTCCCCACCACCATCGACGAGTAGAGTAAAGTACTATCAACACCATGGATCCTCTTTCCCCAGCTAATATCAACGCCGGATGGGCTTCTTCTCCCACCTCCCCCGTAAGACCTCTTGATGCTGGTCCATCGTTGATGACTCCTACTTCTCAGGGATACTCCTCTTCCACCCAATCTCCTGCTCGAGAACCAAAAGTGTTCGGCGCACCTGGTATGGGACTTGTTAGTCCTCCCGGTGCAACGGAAGAGCAGGGTGGTAAAGTGAAACCTTTCTTGAGAGTCAGGATTGGAGGACTGGAGAGGAATAGGAAGGATCTGTTGATACGATTTGATGCTAGTGTGGGTACTTCAACTCTCTAGCCACCTCACAATTTCCAATTTCCAAGTTGTATAAGACTATCACAGCTTGTCACAGATGCTGAACATCAGACAAACCTTCCAAACTTCCGAGCTACACTTTATCGGAATATGCAACGAAGTTATGTTGAATTCCAACGATTTGCCGAACAAGCTCAATTAACCTCACCTCAAAGTCAGTCCCCCGCAGATAAGCCATATATTTGTGATTGACGACGAAGCCATCATACCCGCTCTACCACTACCCACCACATCAGCATTGACGGATGAAGAAGGTGAGTCTCCCTGTACCACGCTACTTATCGTGTGTGGCTAATCATTGGTAGATGACCGCCTCGTGCGACTTTCCATCCAACGATGGTTCACTAGAATCTGTGAAGACGTCGTATTGATGAAAGATGATGAATTGCGTAATTTCATCGAATCAGACTTTGGTGTAAGTTTCAAATTCTTTCCTACCACATCCATTTACCCAATCAAATATAAGACATTATGTTGACAAATAGTATCAACCTGCACCTCCACCCACATCTCGTCGACCGATGTCATCCGCTTCTGCCGTTCCTAATGTTCTATCCGCTGCGTTATCAAAAGTCGTCCGACGGGGTCCTCTGGATGAAGATGATGAACTTCAATCCGCTCGTGTGGCTTTGGAAAAGTTAGAAGAACGATGGGGTTCAGCCGCGGCGGCTGTTGGGAATATGGGCAGAGCAAGAAGATCGATGGCATTAGCTACTGCTGAAATGGGGGGGAAATTAATTTCTTTATCCACTGTTGAAAGTGATCAATCTTTGGCCAATGCGGAGAGAAAGATTGGAAGGGGATATGAACAACTTTCCGGTGTCACTGGTGCTCAGGTGAGCTGTCCATGCAGGGGTGGAATTGTGAAGCTCACTTGTTAGGCGGCAAGTGAAAATGTGGTATTGAGTGATTCTTTAGGTTATCAAGCTTTGAACGCTCGAGCAGCCAAGGTGAGTTTTTGAAACTGATATTGAGCTGAAAGTAGGATGCTTTGATACAACGTACGGCTATATTGGAAGATTCACAAAGTGCAGTCAAAGCGGCTATCAATAAACGTAGAAATGTTGAAAGATTGAAAGGGAGTTCGAATATAAACCCTATCAAAGTGGATGATGCAATCAGTGAGATGGAAGAAGTCAGTAAACTCTTTCTTGTACCTGCTTCACTTCCTTGACTCTTCCTTCCCCGACACTAATCTAAGTTGCAATAATACCCCAGCTGATTGATCTTTCACGAATCAAGAATGAAGAAAGAAGAAAAAAGTTGACAAATAGGCAAACGCATTAGAATCTCAATTAACTTCACGTCTCAACTCAATCTCTACCAATCTTCATCTTGCCCTTCGTACACATTCTCGTCAAACACACGAAGACGTAGCTTTTGTCCTACTTGAAAACGCTCGATTAACTGTCAATTTCGAAAAACAAATTTTGAAAGAATTAGAATCTCTACGATCAGACATATCTAAAATCGGTACCACTCTCCTCGCTTCAGCACCTCAAAGTACATTATCAACTTCCGTTTCCGCCCCTCAAATGGGATCATACGACCCTATCAGCCCCCCTCAAGGATTACCTGGACAATCTGGATTATCAGGGATAGCGGGAATACCAAGTAAACCATTGCCAAATGCTCCGAGTATGACATCATCAAAATCATATCAATCAGGATTCGGATCAGGTGGAGGAAGTAAAAGCATGTTCTTACCTCCACCCGGTAACATACCTGATAGACCTAATTCTACAGGACCAACAAACGATAGAGATCCTTTAGGTCAAATGAGTCAGAGTGTCATTTTACCTCCTGGTCATCAAGTCAATAGGACTCAAACTTTGGGAAGAGTTGGTGCTAAGAGATTGGACGAGAGGAAAGCTGCAAAGTTGTTAGCGAATGGGTTTTGATGTATGATACTTTGTCGAGTTGTGTATATTGGAAGAACTATGCATATATCTTCTTCACTCTCTAATCTCTGATCTCCTGTAGCTCTCAATCAGGTCCGAATATTGTCGATGCCTTCGTCAAATAGTGGGATGCAACAGATGCACCAAATGGTAAGAAGGATGACGATGAAAGGGGATAAGGATAATAACATCTATGTAGGACGTCAGAGCGGAAGGTAAGATGATGCATTTATAAGTTAAAAATATCAAGACAACGATACTGATTTACCTTCCTATTATGTGCCTTCCTCCAGTCAGATTTCTGATCACCACAGGGGTCATATCGACAACTTAGAGATCTTTCTTCCTCTCCATCCCAACAGTAAATCTCTGATTCAATTTCTTCTCTTCATTCTCAGCCGTTCTTTTCGCCCATTCTTGTCCCAATTGCATCAAAATCACTCCTAATGTTAACACACCGACGAGAGCGTTACCAGCTGCTAAGACTCGTACAGCTTGAATACGTTCGTCTTCCGTTGGTGGAGTTTCGCGTGGAGGAGGAGGAGGAAGGATGGAGAATGTTGTTGTGGTTGTTGAATCGGGCACTGTGTGAATTAATGTTTTCCCCCTACACTTTGGTCATTCTTGGGAGATGATTTGTGATAGTTAGAGGTGTATAGTCATTGATGCAGTACTTTGTGACAACTTAGAGGTGGATAGTCGTTCTTGCAGTGATTCGTGACGACTCAGAAATGACTTGTCTTACTTGTGATAATCCATGTTGAATCAAATGTGACTCGCAATCCTCGCAGCATTCGTGACGGATCAGAGGGGAAAGAAGGAAAAAGGGATGGAGAAAGTCGCAAATAAGATTTGACAGCAGAGCAGCAAAAAAAAACTCACGGAATGTCCTTAATGAAGGAATATGTACAGTGAGGTATAAAATAATAGTTGCTAGGTGTAAAACTAGATTTCATTAGATATTCTTTTCTTTTTCCGACTCATTTTTCTTCCTCTCACTCAATTACTACAATCATACGACTGATAACTTTCTCCACCTCTCTCTACCTCTGCTATCATAGCCCCCAAGACAATCATATCCCCCAGTCAACTTCCTACACCAAGGCAATCCGGACTCGAGGGGACTGCACAAATTCGAAGAATATATCCCAAATCTCCAATATGAAAAAGGGGGATGAGTGGTGAGTGAAGGACAACAGGAATATGTAAAAGATGGAAAAAAGGAGGAAAGAAACGAGAACTCACCTAAACCCGTCCCATCGAAAAATACAGCGGATTCTGTCCATTTATGTAATTTGACAATCAAACCAAGCATTGGTAAAACTAAAGCCACGTGGAATAAAGCTTTCACAGCACCGGGCGATTCGAACCATATTCCATAAAACGTGTATGCGTTTTCTAACGCTTGGGAAGTGACAGGTATGTATAGTAATGGGATATCTACCTGAAATACGTCAGCTGCCTTTTCCTGTTTAGTTTTTCAAACCTTGCTTTTTTCTAATTGCCGATAATGAATCATACTCCTTCCAAATATGAGAAAGATATATCATGCTATTCAATTATGAGGATGTGTCATACTATAGAGGGAGAGGGGGATGTTGTCGGTTGAAGTGATTTCCCTGCTGGGTAGGAAAAGGATATTGTATGATGTTATGAAAGGGATGACTAACAAGGAGTGAACACCGGAAGACCGGGGTTGTCTTAACCGAGTAGGAAATGGAATGTTACGAATATATGAGAATATGATAATCCAAAGAATCTCACAGACTATCAAGATAGATATGAGGAAGGGAAGAAGAAACGAGGGAAAGAAGCTGGGAGTAAAAAGTGGAGACGATGGTTCAGCCTTAGGAGAAGGAAGAGAGTTGAACTCACCACTTGACAAACGAATACCATACCCAGGATGAAAGAACATGAACCGAGGACGACAGATTGCATGAAACCCATCATTTCTTGAAGAGACTATCTCTTCCTTCGTCCGCTTTTAGTACTGCGGAATGAGGGATGTTCCTTGTCGAAGGAGTGGAAAGATGCAGGGTTGCAAGAAAGACGGTTGTCGGTGACAGATAGGATATCGCATCTATCATTTTCCAAGACAACTGAGGAGAGCGAGGTTACGTAAACTACCTACTTAAACTGAAAGTACGAGTACGAGTACTCCACTCTACTCGTACTAACTACTGGTGACGTTACCGGGATATCGATTATGGTGAGTAACCAAAATCCCAAAATGCATACATGCCAACATGCTACGCTTGCAGTCAGAGACATGACAAGTATGATTATTCTACAAACAAAACTTCTATAACTTGTAACTAGACTTCATAGACATTGTCCCTTCAAACCTCTGAACCTCACCTTTCAAAACCACATTCAAAGCCCAATCATCTTCCCCAAACGCTAAAGTATTCACACGACTGTCAAAGACCTTTTCAAGAGGTGATTTCTGATGTTGATCGGCGGTATGGAAATCGTCAATGTCCGAGAACAAATCCATAATGTCCGATATATCTGTAGGATGGCATTTTGGTGAACGATGTGATGAAGAGAGATCAGGATGGATTTGTTCACCGGTTTGTGTACTCCAAGCGCGGATCCGACGGTCTGAACCGGCTGCGAGGAGGTGACGGTGGTCGGGAGTAGTTGTGAGGCCCTGGAGTATCAGTGAGGTCCAGGATCACATGAAGTTCTTATGTTTCAAAGAAAAGTCGGAAAGGTTCCATGACAGCTTGCGATTTATAAGAAGATATGTACAGTGAAGAGATCGATTTGGAAAACTCACCAAACCCGATAAAAATCCATTCACATGACCTTCGAGCTGTAACAAAGGCGTCTTGGCAAATCGGGTATCGAAGATCAGTAACTGAAACATCAGTGAGTGTCCTTGTAATGAACCACCTTCCACAAGCTTTGAGGGATAATGATTTCCACTTCAAGAAGAAAAGAAACACCCACCTCATGCTTCATACCACTCACGACCAAACCCCACGGCACAGTCTCATCTTTTAACCTCTTCAATCCCACCACAGCCTTCAAATCATTCGTCTGACACAAAACAGGTTTCGGAGCATTATCCTCAATTCTCATGTCACACAGAAAGACCTTGCCGGATCTCGTACCGCAATATGTGATACACTCCGTTTCATGAGTCACTGCCAAAACGTCGCTTGGCATTTTCCGATTACTCCAGTAAAGACCTTTCTCTGTTGCATGCAGTGATAAAAGTGATTTATGACGACCTAGAAACGTTAGCATATCGTCATTTAATGTTTCACTTGAGTCAGAACCTTCTCCTGCAAGCTCACGGAATACATGGAAAGGGTGGCAACTGAGGAGAACACATCCAAAGAGAGGTGAGAAGAGTATCATACCAATGGAACATAAACCATTATACATGGTCGAACAGAATATATCACCACTGATAATTTTGCATTGGTCTTCCTCTGGATATAACTCCATTTGATCAGGATGACACCGAAAGAAATGTAAGTGTGGTCTGTCTTCATTTGATATTGTTCTAGCACATCAATGTACACCTCTTAAATCTATTTGAGTCGTCACTCACAACGTCGACATCCTCGGTATATCAATATGAACTGCAAAAATCTGGATTGTCAGAATAAGGTTCACAACACATTCACGGGTGAGAAGAATGACTAACCGAATCGGAACATACTGTGACCCGACCGACTGTCTTATCTGGGCGACGGACAATGAGTCGGCCATGGTCGGTAGCAGCGACGTAAGAGCTTTTCGTACCAACCTTTAAGTTCAGCTCAGACTTTTGTCATTCGAATGACGAGATAAACATACGATGAGAGAAGTGATAGTTTCATCTCTACATATCACGGGGTTTTCTTTATTCTCAAAACGTAAACTCCGAAGATGTTTGTCTTCGATTCTATGAATTAGCATGGTGTTCCCCACTTCGACTGCTTCATGATAAACTCACGTTCTTCGTATATTATCTGGGTGTCTTTTGAATCTGTTGGTAGGACGTGCACGCCTGAGGACTGGTTCAGCGACCATTTGAATGTCGGACGGTATATTACCAAGCGTACAATCGGTTGGAAGCGATTCCACATTGTGACCTTCCACTTTGAAAGCTACTCGACTTTTCCTCGATCCGCTCGGGAGACGCATATCTTGCGATACTTCAGCGTTGGACATGAACATCGTGCTGTTTGATGGACCGTATGTCGGTGGGGGTGTGAGAAGAGGTTGGAGTAGGTATGGAGTAAGCGAAGGTGGAGGGCGAGATTTGGGAAAGTATCGTTCCCGGATAGGATCGTAAACCATGTTGGGAAGTTCTCCGAGGTACCCTGGCATCGTGGGGAAGGAAGCAGGGATGAGAAGGAGAAACCAGGATAGACTATGAGTGGGAGTTGAGGCGATGGGGGAGAAGTGAAAGGGAGTAGGGGTATTAGGTGGTTAAGAGAGAGAGAGAGGTGAATGAGAGAAAGTAGGTGGCAAAATTCCGCAACTTTGGTCGTTGATCAGGGAGGGGAGAATGCTTCTTGTCTTTCTATATGTTTCTTCAATGGTCAATGAAGGGTCAAAAGTGTGACACAAAGTCATTAGAGATCACGAAGATACTTGTACCAACATACTCCATAAGGAAATTTCATCACGAGAGCACTATACACAGCTATCGTCCCTCGTGAACAACCTTTTTCTTAAAATTGACGGCATCCTTCGTCGAACGCAAACTCGATCGCCCGCAATAAATAACCATATCGACTTTAGTCTTTCTTCTCCTTCAACTTCATCATTCCATCAACCCTCAAGTATGTCCCAACCGCCCCAAGCTGATATCATCGCTGCTCTCTCCTCCTCCTCATCATCACGTACACGACCCCCCACTCAGCCCTACTCCTCATTCTCGGACCCTGTTACATCCCTCGTCAATCACACTTCGACACCTACCAACGTCCGTGCTATCCACTGTCCTCGGTCGGAATGTGCAAGTACCATCCTATCACCTGGAGCAGCTATCTGGGTCACCTTTTCTGAACCAGTCGTCAGTTCTTTCATTTACAGTCGCAAATTCAAACATGACTGATGGGATAGTTGCCTGATGATTCTGCTGCTCCTTTCCCACAACCACGACTCGTCCAGATCCAACAATTAACTTCGAAGGAGAAAAGTGATTCGAGTGAAAAGGGAGAGAAGATTGTAGAGAAAACTCAATATGGATTTTGGAAAGTATCCAGTCCTTACGATTTCGACAACATTGGTTACTCCAGACCCGATACTTCGGAAAAGGCTCAAGCGCGAGGAGGACCCGGTGGAGAGGGAAAGGTCAAGTGGTTGATCTGCGCGGAATGTGATCTGGGACCATTGGGATGGAGCTTCGAAGGAGGAAAAGAGGCTTGGGTATCGGCGGATAGGGTCAGGTATAGGGGAGAGATCAAGTAGGAAAAGAGAAACGAGGTAGCATCAGGGTATGGAATGGATCTCGGTGGGTACCGTTTGAAACCATCCAATGATTATGCAGCCTTGCAGCTTGCTTCACATCATCCTGAATTCAGTCACCATCTCCACTCAAGCTGTCATTAACATGAAACACAATCTAACATTTCGCTCCCTCTTCTCCTGGGGTCCTCGCGGCAATGAGTTTACATCATACCCTACGTCTCTTCTACTGACTAATTACTTTCTCAGCGATGACTTACCATCTCAAAGAGTCAAGTACATTGCAACGCCCTTCCGCATATGCCTCGATTCCTCATCATGATCCCGAGAGCTCGACTTGGTAAGATGGCGAGTTAATTCTCGACGTTACTTGTCAACGATTAGCGTCTGTCGAGACGATCTTGGGGCAGGTTCTCACCAAGTTGCTTGCCCACTGTCTGGTCGCTTCTTCAAGGAGAGGCGTATTCACAATTCCCTTGTTGGTCTGAGCTTTCACAAATTGCAGGAGTCGAGTTCGAAGACTTTTCAGCTCATCTTGCGATCTCGTCCGTTGGTCAGCGCTGGTTGTGAGTTTGATATGAATTCCGGACCCGCTGAGCTCTTCTTGTAAACGCTGTGACGTGATAGGGTTTGGCTGATTCATTGTTGCCTGGCCGACTGCCTCAAACGTGCACACGTCCTGGAGAAAGTTGGTCACTGAAGTCAACTGGTCATAACACTGTTGCCAAACGTCCAGAGTCCCCACATTGCCTTGGCTTGGGGCGTATTTGTCGGAAAAGGCTTCCACTGTGTTATAACTTGACAGTATTTCAATTGTGTTGTAGGCTGTTGCCCTTGAGTCTCCTTTTACAGGTCGGCCTATGCTGTGTAACACTTGACGAACCAATTCGACTGTTTGTGAAAATTTAGCGAGATTGTCCTTTGTCCAGTTGGGTTGTGATGGCCGGGGGGGTGGGAAAAAAGGGTTAGTTCCAGAGTCAATGTCGGTTGCAGTTCCCAACACGGTTTCCTGGTTGAGCTTCATCCATTTCACCACTTTCTCACCTTCTCGAGCGTATTCCTCGAGGTCTCCGATCATAGATTCAAGAGTGGATCTCATGGCGATTGAAGAATGCATTAGTGATATCAGTCAGGGAAGAAGAGTGAATGTTGAAGCGAGGGGCGGGACCGGGGATTTATAATGTACATGGTGGCCACTCGATTTTCTCAAGACATGCACTGTATGATCCATGACTTTCCCACCACCCTTTCATTGTCTGCATCGCATGCACCGCTTGACGTATGTATGACACAGTTGGCCATTACGGGGGTTTGAGATTGTCCAGACCAATACCATGAGACTGGGAAGGCGTGGCGTGGCGTGGGAAACGACAAGTCGGGCCTTCGTAGATTCGGTACGTGTCCAAGTCCCCTGCTCCATGCTCCATGCTCCATGCTCCACCTATGACCGACTGGATCGAGGACTCGACTGGTTCTGCATACGTCCGCGCAAAACAACTATAATCAAGAGGTGTAGTGTATGTAGCGGAAGAGAGTAACGTGCTCTTTAGACTCCGATAGAAGATCACTTATATATCACTTACTCATTGAACGGAGGTGGAGGAGAAGAATGGTCTGTGCTTCTGACGTCATTGCATCAACCCCCACACCACATAAGTACTTCATGACACGCACATCTGACGTAGCTCTTCCTTTTTCTCTACTCCCCCATCCATCACTACATACTCACTGTACTTGTACTGTACTCGTACTCTATCACCTGTACATCTTGACTTCGTCCCCTAGCGACCAGTCCCGACGACGCACATCTCGTTGCCACGCATCACGCACATTCAACATGTCAGACCAACAGCAAGACGGTACACAATTCCCTCCCCTTCCTCCAGCTCCTCCCTCTCATGTCGTCGGTCAAGGTTACTCGGCCAACCACCCGGTACCCACTGTCCAGGACTATAAAGTTACTAGAGAGGACAACGAGCGTCAAGCAAACAACTACGCCGAGATTGTGAGGAAGAGACAGGAAGAATCCGAGATGAGGAACCAAAAAGTCGTTGTCCAAGCAAATGATGATACCTCGGATGACACTGATAACAAAGATGAGGTGAAGAAAGTCAAGCAGGAGAGTAATGCTGCAAAGACATCACAAGACAAAAAGGATCAAGGAGGAGCACAAGGACCGGCCAACGAGAAAACGAGGATGATGGAGCAGATGAATGCCAATCAAGGTGAGTATTTCTTAGGTAGCACCAGTGATGGAGAGGGAACTGATCAGATAGTCAAACCTACAGATAGAATCAGAAAGGCAGAAAAAGGTCAAAGACGAGTGCGTGACCCTATCACTGGCGGTGAGATCATCGTCAAAGACGCTGAGCCCAAAGGTGAGCATTCCACCCTCGTGATCAATGTGGAATGTACTAACCTACCCAGACTTCGACTCAGCCACACCTGCTACCAACGGCTCCAATGTCCTATTTCACCAATTCCCACCTGCTGTCCCCCCCTCTTTAGCAGCGGTTCTGAGCAAACTCCGCATGCTACAGTATGGAGCAGGCATCGGTATGTTTATCGTGTGGCTCACCGTGGCGTGGGGGAACGGAGTGGGTTCGTTCATTTGGCGAAGCATCATATGCTCGACCATAGGTTTCGTACTCATGACTGCGGGAAGTCTCATTGAGAGGGGGCTGGAGAAAGAAATGGAAGCTGTGAGACAGGATATGGGTCGCGCAAGGGGAGAGGCATTCTCCCCACCTCTGCCTGAAAGTGTCGAGTGGCTCAATGGATTGATTAAGTTGGTTTGGGGCGTGATTGACCCGTAAGTCCATCAAGTCTTTTTTCTCTCTGCTGGGTCGCACGCAATCACGACTGTCTGTTATCTTCTTTGACATCTCGTGCTGACCATCAGCGCTATGTTCATCTCTGTAGCGGACATGGTGGAGGATATCCTCCAACAGTCTCTCCCTGGCTTCATCGATGCCGTGCGCATCACCGACCTCGGACAGGGAACGAACCCTCTGCGCATCAACTCTATACGTGCTCTTCCCGACCAGCCCGGTGACGAAGGATATCCCAAGACCGGCTGGATCAACGAAGGCAATGACGCAATCAAGACCAAGGATACGGCTGGCAAGGACGTCGAGGAAGATCAAGCGGGCGATTATTACAACTTCGAAGTGGCTTTCTCTTATATTGCTCTTCCTGGCCAAGGCGCCCATGAGCGAGCAAAGAATATTCATCTGCTCATTGAGGTAAGTAATGTTTTCCATGAGAGGCTTAGCTGATTGATCCCAGTTCTTCATCGGGATGTACGACTGGCTTCATATTCCCATCCCCATCTGGATTCAGGTCAGTACAAAGTTCCTTACGTGATGTCTCCACGCTGACAGATAGGTCGAGCAAATATTTGGCATCGTCCGGCTTCGTGTTCAATTCATCCCAGAACCACCGTTCGTGCGAAACCTTACGTTTGCGCTATGCGGAGTTCCAAGCGTCGAAGTTTCAGCTATACCCATGTCTAAACATCTTCCGAACGTTTTGGACCTTCCCTTCATCTCGAGCTTTGTCAAGATGGGTATCGCCGCTGGAACCGCAGAACTGGCCGTACCAAAGAGCATGACTTTGAACCTACAAGAAATGCTCAGCGGTGCTGCTGTGGGCGACACCAGGGCTATCGGTATCTTCCTCATCACGCTTCATTATTGCGAAGATCTGTCAGCTCAGGACAACAATGGAACTTCCGACCCATACTGCGTTTTGGCGTATGCGAAATTCGGCAAACCACTGTACTCAACTCGGATCATTCTTGGTGACCTCAATCCGGTGTATGAGGAAACCTGCGTGTTACTACTCACGATGGACGAGGTGAAGTCGAAAGAGGATCTGGCTGTGATGCTCTGGGACAGCGACAAGCTGAGTGCCGAGTGAGTTCCGTATCCTCATTTCGCATCTCATCCACTTTGTTTTCCCATGTGTTGATTGGTTCGTATCTTTGTGGCCGTCGATCAGGAGAGGACGCTGACAGCCAGTGACTTGGTCGGCCGAATCCAGATCCCCGTCGAGGAATTGATGAAAGAACCGAATAAGATGATCAAGAGGACAGACCATCTCATGGGTTTCGAGGATGCCAATGACATGCCTGGTCAGTCTTTAGACTTCTCGACTTCAATTTTTACGCCTGTCTCATAGTCTGACGTGTACTGAAATTTCTGCTAATCATCCAGGAAAAATCGTGTGGTCCGTCGGATACTTCGAAAAAGCTCCTCTATTGAAGGAGTTGGAGCGTGGTCCCACTCTAGAAGAGGCCAAGAATGCTCCGGCTCCACCCAAGACAGCCCCAGAGATGGAAATGTTGCCACGAGATGCTGCTCCTCATCCGGCTAAGAAAGACCTTCCTCCTCCGCCTCCCGATGTGCAGAAAACAGCACCGGATCCCAAATGGCCTTCAGGAGTGTTGTCCATCATTCTACACCAGGTGAGTAGTCGGATCAATTCGCCTGCCACGATATCACCTTTCTCGCATTGATGCTCCTCGAGTTTGTCGTTTCTAGAGCCCGGGTCAGGCAGGCGTCAGTGTCGATGTAGAGAGTTGCAAAACAGCAAGTCTAATTCCAGATCAACAATCTCGAACGTCAAAACCTCGCTGGCACCTCTGGCAAACGCGAAGGAGAAGCTGGACAAGATACAGACCAACCTTCCGAACAATCAGACAACCTCCCTTCCGGTTATGGCGAGTTTATTGTCAATGACGATATTGTATACAAAACACGAGTCAAGCAATACACCACGAACCCGTACTTCGAAGCGGGAACAGAAGTCTTTGTACGTGATTGGCAGAATACGGTGGTTAGAGTTGTAGTTCGCGATTCTAGGTTGAGGGAGGCGGATCCAATTTTGGGGATTGTCAGTGTGAAATTGAGCGAGGTGTTCAAGGAGGCTTCGAGTGTTACTCAGACATACGCGCTTACGGAGGGTGTTGGGTTCGGAAAGTGAGTATCGTTCGATTCTCCCTCTCTCTCCCTCTCTCTTTGAACGTCGGTCAATGTTCTTCATTGATGAGGTTTGCTCTTCCTCAGGCAATCTCAATTCTCTGACGGGGTGGGCATGACAGAGTAAAATTTGGTGGAGTGATCACGGCTGTTGGCAAATGTCAAGGGAGCACAGCTCACACGTCGCAGAGTGAACATCTCTTTCGCATTCCGAGGAATGCAAGTCTCCCTTCCTCCCAATCTCCGCGGATGGGACACTGGCACTCTTGAACTCGGTTCCGTCGCCTTCCACGTCGATCCTACCAATACAGACCTTATCGAGCCCACACCTCTCAGACTCCGAGTGGTCACTTCTGAATCCGCCGAGATTCTCCCGAAAGCCGACGCTAAAGTAAACGACACGGTGGTGGAATGGGACATGGACACCCTCCGTCTTCCCGTTTATTCGCGATACCAATCATCTGTTATCTTTGAGATTGGTAAATCTGGCGGGATCTTGAACGGATCATTGAAGAGTAAACCAGATGCCATCGCTGTCTTGTGGATGCAAGATTTGACTGACGATGTGGAACAAGAAATCAAATTACCAGTGTTGGTAGGGAAGAATCTTGCGAATTTGCGGCAAAATGCCATCAATGATCAGACGAAGAAGCATCATGAATTTACTGTGGTGGGTACTTTGGTGGCGAGGATCAAACTTGATTCTGGTCTGGATGAGGATCACGAGGTGAGTGTTTGGCACTTGTCCCTTCTTGGAGATGTGAACTTAGATATTGGGTAGAGTTGGCTAACAAATTCAGAAAAACTTGAAATTGTCTCAAGCCAGAAGACACGCTTTCGAAGCTTATGACCATATTGAAGGCGAAGCAGAGGTAGCACAGAAACAAGCTCATTATGAGGACGACGGAGTTATTGATAAGCAAGAACAGAAGGATATTGACAGAGCGCATAAGAGACAACTCATTAGTCGAGGTAGAGGACCTGCACAGGTTAAGGCTTTCAGGACGAGCAAATGGATGCTTCAGGTGAGTTATTCTTTGACCTCTTCATGACTCACACTTCTTGGGACCGTATTCGAATCTGTTCATTCGTCCGTCTGCAGATAGACAAAGTGTTATGCTTCCAGTTCTCTCTCCTCCTTCCATTACGCTTGTATGATCGAGATCGGGAAGAGTTCAACAATTATTCTTCTTTTGAATTTGGTTTAGAGTGAAATTTGCTCACTGTCAGGGCATCAAAGATCGTCTTCCTGGAGGAAAGAGTAAGACTCGTGAACGTAAGTTAACTCATCTTCATATTCCTGACATTACTCGTAGTTGACCAGCAGCAACCATTCAAACAGAAGCTTGATCATGATGACGATATTTGAATTGTAGCGACACACGGAATTTTTATTATATAATGGACAAGTGACAGTTATGCATGACGATTTGATTTTCATTTCCAACATGATTTTCTTATAACATGATTACGAATACTCTACTTTACAACAAAAAAGCCTAATCCAATGCGCGACACAACACGAATGTTTCATGACATATTTCAATCTGACAAGTAACAATGACATTTTTCAATCTCATGATAATCAAGGATTTTTCGGTCCATTCGGATCTTTGTTCACACCAGGAATGGGTACCTGAAAGGTCTTTTGATTCTCTTTTCCTCTAGGATTGACGGCAGCCCGTCGACGGCCTCGACGGGAAGGTTGAAGGTGGGGTACAACGCCTGGAGGAGGTTTGTCAGGGCCGTATTCAGCTGCGAATTTAAATATCCTCTTGGGTGCTTGGAGGACAGGATTGTCTGAGTTTCCGCCTTCTGGTGGGGGAGGTGAGCCCTCGATGGGTTCAGTAGAGGGTGACGTCATCTTGGCCCTTGGAGGTGGGGACAGACGGGTGGTTTGGGTAGGAGGAGATAACTGACTACTTTCAGAGGGAGGAGATAGTTGAGTGGTTTGAGAGGGAGGAGATAAGCGAGTGGTTTGAGACGAAGGTATAAATGTATGATGAGGCGGGAGGGGCGGTTGTGTGTTATGGGTAGGATAAATTTGAGTAGTGTGGGATGGAAGAGATTTTTGAGTAGTGTGGGATGGAAGGGACTTTTGTGTAAGGGAAGGAGGAGACTTTGGCCTAGTGTCGGATGGAGGCGATAATATAGTGGCGTGGGTTGGAGATCGTTGGGTAGAGTGAGAGGGAGGAGGTGGTCGGGAAGGAAGAGGTGATGAAGATGGAAGGGGAGCACGAGGGGGGACAAAAACTCCGGTATTGTACGAACGAGTGGTGTTATAAGAAGAGTGAGGAGCAGGAAATACCCGAG